TCAATATTTAGATTTTTTTGCACCCTCAGATTCCAGTTTTTCAAATAGTTGTATCTCAGCCAAATATTGTGCTATCATAACAAACCATACATCAATGGAAAGATTATTTATAAATATGTATAAATCTCAATTTCAAAAAATTGACCCTTATGACTGGTTTTGAGGTCCAGGGTCACATATACACACATATACACAAGATCTCACAGCTGGATTCGACTAAGTTTGCAAGGTTTGTGAAATTAAATGTTCATTCAAAGATTTGTTTAAATGATATAAATGCGTAGTTGCTGAAAGCTTACGGTAAATGAGGAAGTATTATAATGTTTGCCTTTCTATTACTACTAAAAGCAATAGTTATAATACTTTTTTGTATGAATTTTAATTCCTTTGTTTAACAGCTCTATCTGATTATTAGACAGACTTCTATCCGTATTAGACAGAACTGTTAACGACGACGGCGAACAAGAGATTAAATGTTCATTCAAAGATTTGTTTAAATGATATAAATGCGTAGTTGCTGAAAGCTTACGGTAAATGAGGAAGTATTATAATGTTTGCCTTTCTATTACTACTAAAAGCAATAGTTATAATACTTTTTTGTATGAATTTTAATTCCTTTGTTTAACAGCTCTATCTGATTATTAGACAGACTTCTATCCGTATTAGACAGAACTGTTAAACAACAACAGTGAACTAGAGGGAGTCAGGGAGAATGTCAAAATAAAAGTCCCGCCTTGAACGCATCGGCCGTACTGAAAAACTTATCGGCCGATACTTGAAAAATGCCAAATATCGACCGATATATCGGCCTTGGCGATATATCGGTCGACCACTAGTTTAGAGTCTCATGACGTGATTCAGCATCTAGAACCACCTCGTGTTTGTTCAGAGCTTTTGTGTCTCTTCTGCAGCTGTGCTTTCGCCAACACGCCCAAATACAGTCAGGTGAAAGCAGCCGGAGGCGTCATCGTCAGGAAGGAGTGGGTGATGGACTGCCACAAAACAAAGCAGAAGATTTCATTCAAACGGTGAGCATTATTGGTGGCTGTCAACTGATGTGAGTTCATATCGTGAGAATCATGGGAACTGCTATAGTGCATGTTTAGTTTTCTAGTAGCATCATTCAGGTCAGTGGTGTTATACTTAACTAAAACGGAAAATATTTAAAAGAAAAAAAATGTTAATTGAAATAAGCTGAATTAAAATATAAGTATTAGTTGAAAAACTTTATAATGTTGCCTTAGGAGCTAACTGGAAAAAAAGTAAGTACTAAAATTACTAAATCAGAAATAAAAATAAATTAAAGTTAAATAGAAATATTAAAAAATCCAAAACTAATAAAAATACAAAAGCACAACAAAATTACTAAAACAAACTGAAATAAAATAAATGCACGACAAAAACTGAAATAACAATAAATTAAAGCTAAATAACAAATATAAAAAGCAAAAACTAATAAATGACAAAAGACCACACAAAATTACTAAAACTTAAATAAAAATAAAGCAAAATATAAAAAAACAAAAATGATACAAATGACAAAAGCACAACAAAATTACTAAAACTAAAAGTGAAATTAAAATAATGAAAGCTAAATAAAAAAATATAGAAAACGAATACTAATAAAAATGACAAAAGCACACAAAATTACTAAAACTGAAATAAAACTAAATAGAAATGTAAAAAAATAAAACTAATGCAAATGAAGAAAGCACAACAAAATTACTAAAACTAAAAGTGAAAGTAAAATAATGAAAGCTAAATAAAAAAATATAGAAAATGAATACTAATAAAAATGACAAAAGCACATAAAATTACTAAAACTTAAATAAAACTAAATAGAAATATAAAAAATAAAACTAATACAAATGAAGAAAGCACAGCAAAATTACTAAAACAAACTGAAATTAAAAAAGCTAAGTAGAATTTTTTTTTTAATGACAATCACAATAAAATTATTAAAAGTGAAATAAAGAGAAATAGATTGAAGCTAAACAGAAATAAAAAAAAAGGACAAAAGCACATACAATTGCTAAAACGTAAACTAAAATGAAAATATAAAAATATTAATAAATGCTATAAAAGTATATAAATAATACTAAAATAACACTGATGTACGTGCAGTTATCATTTCTGTTACGAGGTGGACTGAATGTCTAGTGTTTTCTGGCAGTCTGTGTAATTGTGAAGAAGTGCAAAGTTAAGGCAATTAAGTATGCTTTATAGTGCAAGAACCTTCAAAATGGACCTCGGGATCTAGACTACAGTACTACACCGATCTGGCTCTGCATTAATATCAGATGAGATTTGCTAGTGATGCACTGGCTCTGATGATGTGCTGCTCGTTACTTGACAGTCTTTAGTGACCCATCTGATTGTGCAGTTCCTTTAAAGTGTGCGTGAAGCAAAAAGTGCTCTGAATAATGAATGATTGAAGTACTGAAGTCTCTCTCAGCAAAGGCTGCATGAGGTCTGAGTTTCTCTAAAGAGCTGATTGCTGCACATCAGGGGTTATTTGTGGCTGATCATGCAGTCATGTTTTGTGGCATTGCTGCTGCTGTTTCTGCTTTCATTGCATCAGTTGTGTGGCGTTCGTTCTCCAGTCTTTCTGCAGGTGTGTTTGTGTTGATCTTTCTGTGAAGGTGCTTAAGATAAAACCTTAACTAAACAGCCGTGACTTCAGTCAATTCATTAAATGAGCGCCTTCATTCATTGGCTAGACTGTGCGATACTACTTTGGCTGTATCAAATATTCACAGTGATTTTAATGGGAATATTTTATATATGCAATTTCGTAAATATTGTGATATTTTATTTAATGCACTTTTTATTTTTCATGATAGAAAGATATATATACTGGCATTGAGGGTAAATATTGTTGTTTATAATTTAAGTATTGTTATACTGGCACAACTAAATGAAAACAGAACAGTTAAACAATAGAATTTTTCCAAAACAGTTTGGAAAACATGCAGTGATTATTTGAACCAGATTTTTACTTTATTGTATATTTCGGTATTTTAAATCTACTTCACAAATGCATCCTCTGATCAAAAACAGGATATATGTATATATATATATATATATATATATA